TGCCTCTTCAAACCAAGAAAATTGAGTTAGTTACGTATTAGAAGAAGTTGTGAGAACACAAGACCAAGTCATCTTCAGTCTTCAAGAGTTACTGTCATAAATGAGTTCATTAATTCATCCTAGTATAAGGATGAGATGCAAATAAGTATCAGGTGGGAATTGTCTTATGCTTTGATGTTTTGAAGGATCAAGGCGCAATAAATCATGTATGACGACGTGTAAACTACTTTTACTTTAATACCATGAAATAATTAAAGTGAGAAGGAGCTAGCATAATAGAATTATTCCCACAAGTTTGTGCAAAAAGGAGCTAGCAAAAGAGTCCTATGCCATGAAATAATTAAGTGATAAGGAGCTAGCAAAATAGAATTATTCCCATCAATTTGTGAAAAATGGAGCTAGCAAAAGAGTCCAATGAATGAATATAGTATTGAGTCCTTACAGGAGCTAGCAAATGTAATTTTTTTTGGAGATGTTCTTTTGGGCAAATTTTAGTATCCTCGATATTAATTAATGTTCTCTTTGAATTTTGTATTTATCTTTCTTTTATGATCTCATTATGTGAAAATTTTCCCAACTAAACATGTCTGCCTTGATGAGTTTAAATGTAAGATATATTGAATTAGCACTAAAAATTAAGTTTAATAGATTTGAAGAGTAAATACAATTGCTGAGTTGACAGTTTTTTAAATGATAAGATTGCCTAGTAGATAACAGGGAATAGTTTGAGAGTAGGATATTGTTGCAAACCTTAAGGAAGGCTTTTTTTCAATAATGTATCTTTCGACAATCGATTGGCTTATATGGCATTATCTTACGCCAGAATTTTAATATTTGTGAGGTAACCATCTATAGACTCCCCATTTAGAATGGACTATTCTTTCTCTCAGTTTGAATCTTGTATAGCAAATAGAGTTTGAATTCTATAGCTTGACTTTTTTGTCTGCTTAATATTTTAACATGATGCTTGACTAGCAATTGTTTCAGAAAGGCTAAGAAAAATGATTTGGTAGTTAATCAAATCATCAAATTAGTATGCACTTAATTGAGCTTCTGATTATTGGCTAATTTATAAATTGATGAGTCAGCGAATAAGTGAATTTTTTAACAGGTGGGTCGACAACTGTGAACATTATTGAGACTATTGTTATGTTAAACTCAATAGAATTCATTGATTCCTCAAACAAGACTCATAGAAGCTTTATGTTAAACTGACTTCGCTAAATACAGATTGTTCATCTACTTGGAGATTCAATTTTCCTATGGACGTGGTCTCATTTTTATAAATTTGACCTATGCAAAGATCATTTTGATGATATGGTTTAATTAGTCCACTATTTGCTGAGCTAATCAAGATACATTTGGGATTTCAACTAATTTTTTTCAGATTCGAAGTTTATTTGATTTCATATCAAATAAATGAATATTGAATCCACATTTTAAACTTTTCAACAATTTGAACACAGCTGAGTATTGAGTTCACCAAATATTAGTGTGTCATGGAATAACCGAGTACTGGGTTATCAATTGTTTTGAGCTGCCAAGTTATTGAATTACCCAGTAATTGAGCCACCTATTTTTCTAAACTACTGAGTTATCAAGTGGTCAAACTATCGAGTTCTCTGAGTATATTTTTATAATGCATTACAAATTTTTAAAGCATAGATTTCTCGTTCAATCTAAAATTCATTACAAAAAATTTTTTGTCACGAAATTTTCCTAGTTATGTTTATTACTTTGCTCTAGGATCAGTCCATTCATTCTTTCTTCTTTGTATGTGCAAGTATAAGCCTCTTGAACTCCCTTGCTTTGATGAATTCCTGAATATGTTGCAATAGTGTTAACATTATAAGTGCTTATGTTCCTCAAGTAAGTTTAGATATAGATTCCAAAGATAAATTCTTGAATGACTTAGAAGACTTAATACAAATGACACTTCTTGAAGAAAGAATTTTTATTGGAGGAGATTTAAATGGACATGTCGGTAGAGTGGTAGAAATTTTCAGGAATATTCATGGTGGCTATGATTTTGGAGAGATTAATGAAGATGGTAAAGCCATATCAGATTTTGCTTTAGCATATGATTTATTACTAATATTTTATTCAAGAAAAGAGATGAACATCTTATCAGTTATAAGAATGGATCTAATAAAACACAAATTCATTACTTTCTTATGAGAAGAAGAGATCATCGAGATTGCACAGATTGTAAGGTCATTTATAGTGAGGATTTAAGTACCCAACATTAATTATTAGTTCTTGATTTTATGATGAAGAGTTGTAAGAGAAAGAATATTAAGATTCATTATTGTAGAATTAGACGGGGTACCTAAAAGACACAAATAAAATTAATTTTATGAATAAAATTCAAGATCTAAAAATTTGGGATGTTCGTGAAGAAACAAATGCTATGTAGGATAAAGTAACAAACACTATTAAACAAGTGACAAAAGATGTACTTGTAGAATCAAAAGAAAAATTTTCTATAAATAAAAATAATTGATGGTGGAATTATAATGTGCAAGAAAAGACAAAATATAAGAGGTTATGTTATCAAAAGTGTTTTAAATGCAAAAACTGAGAGAACTGGGAAAAATATAAAACGGCCCGCAGGGAGTCTAAAAAAATAATCTGTGACACTAAAAATTTTGCTTTTAGTGATCTTTATAATATATTAGATACTAAGGACGGTGAAAAATAAATGTATAAACTAGCTAAACAAAGAGAAAAAGAAAAGTAAAAATTTAGCTCAAGTAAAGTGTATTAAAAATGAAAATCAAAAAGTATTTTTCTTAGAAAACGATATTCAACATAGGCGAGTGAGTTATTTTGATAAATTTTTTAATGAAGTTTTTGAAAATACGATTGACCTTAATGATCTTAATATGGTTAATAATAATAAAACGTTTCATTTTTACCGTCGCATTAGTAAAAAAGAAGTTGAGGAGGCTTTAAAGAAAACCAAAGGTGGAAAGTCTGTAGGACCTGATGATATCCCAATTGAAGTGTGGAAATATTTAGGAGATTTGAGAGTTTCTTGGCTTACTAAACTCTTTAATACTATTTTAAAAACTAAAAAGATGCCTGAGGAGTGGAGGAGTATTTTGGTCCCCATTTTAAAAAATAAAGGTGATGCACAAGAGCGTGCAAATTATAGAGGAATTAAGTTGATGTGTCATACTTTAAAATTATGGAAGAGGGTAATTGAACATAGGGAACATCGGTTAACATAGGTTAAGACGTATTACAAAAATTTCTCAATTTGGATTTATGCTGGGCAGGTCTACTATGGAAGCTATACATTTATTGAGAGGTTTGATGGAGAAATTCAGAGATAAAGGAGGATCTACATTTGATTTTTATTGATTTAGAAAAAGCTTACGATAAGCTTCCAAGAGATATCCTTTGGAGAGTTCTTGAAAAGACAGGTGTTGATATGACTTATATTTAAGTCATTAAAGATATATATACTAGAGCTGTTACTTGTGTTTGAACTGAAGAAGGATTGACCAAATATTTTCTTATTCTATTGGATTACATTAGCGATCGGCTTTAAGCCCATATCTTTTTGCTTTTGTTATGGGAGGGACATTTACAGAAGGATGTATCTTGGTGTATATTTTTGCGATGATATCCATCTCGTGGATAAGACGAGAGAAAAAGCCCAGGAAAAACTTGAATTATGGAGGTCTACATTGGAGTCTAAAGGCATTCGTTTGAGTAGAACCAAAACTAAATACATTGAATGTAATTTTAGTAGTAGTAGCTCTAGTGACAGAAGTGTAACTTTGGGTGTTCAAATTATTAAAAGGTGTGATCGATTTAGGTATCTCGGGTCTATTGTTCAATGCGATGGTGAGATAGATGGGGATGTTATTAGTAGAATTCAAGTTGGTTGGTTGGAGTGGAGGAATGCTTCAGGCTTTTTGTGTAATAGAAAAGTACCGCTTAACTGAAAGGAAAATTTTATAAGATGGTAATGAGATCTGCAATACTCTATGGTGCGGAATGTTGGCCTTTAAAAGAGGAGGCATAATACTAAGTTAAGTGTGGCAGAGATGAGAATGATTAGGTGGATGAGTGGCTTTTCACTTAGAGACAAAATTCGCACTTAGAGACAAAATGCGAAATGAATATATTCGTGATGTGTAGCTTAGCTCTTGTGACGGACAAAATTAGAGAGAGTTGTCTTAGATGGTTTGGTCACATTAAACGTTGACCATCTGATGATCCTTATAGGAGAGTAGATGTTTTATATTCAACTTATGTTAAGAAAGGTCAGAGGTAGACCTAGGAAGACTTGGACGTATTGTATAAAAAATGATCTTAATTTATTAGAATTAAATCAAAATATGACACTAAATAGGACATAATGAAAAAAATGATTCGACCCCACTTAGTGGGATTAAGGCTTTGTTGTTGTTGTTGTAGTAGTAGTAGTAGTCATGATTCTTATAGAAATTTCAGTATTTTGATGGATCTCGACTATGTAGTTGTGCATGCCATGGAGGCAGCTCACAATATTCTTCTGCCTTTGATGGAATTCATCAACTATATATAAGATATTTCTAAAGGGGGTTTACTTGAGTATTGATTGATTATTAATTTCTTATTAATTTCTTTTCTTTACTAGGAAGTCGGTTAAGTTTGTGCATCCTTATATTAATTTCTTTTCTTTACTAGGAAGTCGGTTAAGTTTGTGCATCCTTATGTACAACTCATCGAGGCCACTGTTGTTGTGATCATTGATTATCACTGGTAGGTTTCGATTCCTTTGAGTAAAAATTGCTTTAATGCTAATTTTGTTGATACTAGTGATACCATGATTAAGCTATGACATCTTTCAAATGTCAATTTACTGATGTTTTTTTGTTATATTTTTTTTCCCGTTAATATGGTTCTTGGCGAGTTCCAACATTTCAGCCAATATGTTCAGTTGTTTTAGTCTTTAAATGCCTATTTGAAAGGTTCTCTCTGAGGCTTTATGTATGTTCTGCTAGGGTGAATACCTCCGTCTGTTTATTTGAAGGGTTCTTATCCAAGATCTTGTAAGTGCCGCTAGAACGACTACCTAATCCAAATATTTGACATCTTCGTGCTCAAAGGAAATAATGCATTATCAAAGAGATCCATTAAGTTCTTTTCTAATTTGTAATAGAACTTGAGTTTTTAATGGCTTTTTGGCACTCATGAATTAGGTGACCTTTTTCATTCGAGAAGCCGAACTGGCTTGAAAGCTTCTTATTTTGCAATTCGTGTGTCAACTAGCTGATCTTGACGTACCTATGTGCAGTACTGCAGATAAAATAACAACCAATAGGCATTCTCAGGGGATACGATTCCTCAATAAACTAACAGGTACTAGCAATGACTTTCCATCACCTATTTGACTACTTGTATGTACTATCTAAGATATTAACTTTTGCTAGAAGTCAAGACTGAACTAAAACTACCTGATAAACAAACTCTGAAGCAAAAAGAAATAAAAGCCCACTCAGGAAAAAGGTGAAGTGCATTTTTATATATATAAAGTTTGCGTGTTGTTCTGGTAGAAAAATAGAAGCTGAGCACTGCTCCTAATTCTTCAGACCTGCTGTAGCTACAAAGCTGCCATCAAATCTGGCACTAAAAAATGGAACAGAGTCTAAAAGGAAAAAAGCCTATCAATCTTCTGCGAACATGATAGAGCTTGAAGTTATCAGCTCAGATGAAGATCGTTGACCGTGATTTTACAGCACTTTTATCCTGCAAATGGTCTACGGCTAAACAAAAGATGAAGCTTTCAGTGCCATTGGTATGTTTTGACACTGTGGCCATGGTTGCCGTTCAGCATTCTTCACCCATAAACGAAATGCACCATGGATTTCTGTAATCTCAAGCTCTTTTAGCTGCCATCAGTATTTTAGATTCCTATTTGTGTTTGTTCTAAAATTTATGTATTTGTCTTCAAGGAATGTATCTTACGAATATTGTTGCTAAATATTTGCCATCTTCAATTAGATTTTTTTACTTTAAACTGAAATAAGCATGCGAGTTGTTAAGCTCATAAGCAAAATGTTGACAGGGTTCTTTTTTATCTATGGTATCAAAATTGTGCTCAGATTGCAATTAGTAAGTTTGATCGACGTAAGGTGCATGTGAGTTGTCAAGCTCATAAGCAAAATGTTGACAGGGTTCTTTTTATCTATGGTATCAAAATTGTGCTCAGATTGCATACCTTATACTAGAAACAAAATAGTTATTGATATTTAACATTATAACTATTTTGCTAGTTATTTTAAATACTATTTAACAATTATTGTCATTTAGCAAATATAAATATTTTACCCGAGCACCCTTGGTAAGGTTTGCAGCTTCTTTCCATCTTTTAATGCTTCCGTTTTTGTTCTTCTTATACTGCATTCAACATGATGAAACCTATAATGTAGTTGAAACCTATAATATAGTTTAAATAAAAAATAAAAAATAAAAATAATCTAAAGATATAAAATAATAAAAAAAATTTAAATAGAATGAAACCTATAATGTAGTTTAAATAAAAAATAAAAATAAACTAAAGATATAAAATAATAAAAAAAATTTAAATAGAAGAAATATGTTCATGGTAAAAGAATTATAGATTTGCAAGTGTTGAAATTAAATAAATGGATTATTATTTGAATGATCAAATCACAGGCATGCAACAAACAAATTTAAAACTTAAAAAAAATGCTCGAGAGAACAGAAGCATGATTTCATAGAGTAAAATCAAGGCAGAAGAGTTATAGAATTGCCAATGGAAAAATTACTAAAAATAGTGTGATTTCAAGTAGTAATATATTTTTAATCATTAGGGCTACTACTTTGTTCTTGCAAGCTTTGGGTTTTTTGGTTTAGCTTGCACAACTTAACTACCACTTGATGATAGATTTAAGGCAACAAAAATTATCAAAGCTAGTAGGATCTCAGAAGGATCACATATGTTCATCATAGTTATTTCTAACATACGGATATTTATACCCATGAAGAGTTTGATTTACACATCTTTTCAAATAGACCTCTGGTGTTTTTAACAAGTAATCATATAAGTATAGTTCATTATTAAATGTCGTAAAAGATGTAGTATGAAGAGATAAATTCAACTTTGAAAGCAATCTAAAAGTACAATGCATGTCACATCAAGCCCCTAGAAGAGGAGTTTTAACTAATATCTAAGGTAGAAACAAATGATAAGCATATGTTTACAATAATAAAAATACCTAAGGAAGAGGAAGAAAGCTCAAGACAAAGCCACAAAGCTTGCACAATGACCTCTTCTTAACCTTCAGCTCAAGTACTCAAGAATGCCTCCATTTATCCTTATGTTTCCTTTAAGAAAAACTTAGTTGTACTCTCTCCAAATCCTGGTTAGGAGGGTTACTCCAAAATGCCCCAATTCGTTCACAATCAGTCTGTAAAATAGTGCAACTAAGGAAGCTTCAAAATAAAGAATCTAGTAAATATGCCCAAAATTAGCTAATTTGGTTCCCTGGAACATAGGAGGCTAGTTGTCGAGCTTTATGTTTGGTTTTTTGAAGTGAGTGTATGGGAACTTGGAGCTAGCGCCTGGGCATCGATGAATGGTGCTTGGCCACCTATAGATGGCTCTTGTACGCTGACACTCGGGTTGACACATGCAGATACGCGATCAAGCGCTTGGGAGTAGCATATGGGTGTTGGATAGCGCCTGAGCTCCTATGAATGGTTCCTGGGCGCTTGTCTCTCTATTGTTGCATGCTACAAATTTCTTGTGAGTCTTGGTGCCTATATCTTAAGCTTAAGCTTTAGCTAGCTTAATCCACTATCCTCTGAATATGCCTTTTGTTGGACAATTTCTTTCTTTATTTTTCACTTTCTTCTTACACATATAAAAGGGTGAATTAAATCATTAGTACAAAAGATGCCAAGAGAATGTTCAGATAAATAGAATTTAATGCATAAAATGTCAGTTAAAATTATATAAATTTCACTTCGGTTAAAATACTACTCACTTCGATCTTTGCTCGCCCTCGAACAAAGCTCTCTCAAAGTAATGACTTAACACATGTGAAGTCATTTGTTTAATCTTTGTAAGGTATACCATCAACATTGTTTATATCTATTCATATTTTTTTAATAGTTCATCGTTAAACATTATTTGCAAAAACCATTGTTTTGCTACCATGTGTAAATTCTTGTTAAATTAGAAATAGATAATGTGCTTTGCTATAGTGTGAGGCAACTTCAAGGTTACTTAGCATTATATCTTCTTTATAATTGGGGGCTTATTTATCACTTAGTAAATTAGACCCATCATGCCTCATGCAACCTCTATCTTAGAAAGTTTATTATTACCTCCACGCAACTCTTAGTAGGCATAACTAATGCCTTGGATGAGTTGAGTCTTCTGTGAAGGATTTTTCTATTCCCCAAATCTGGTCATATTGTACATTGTGGGGATAAACTTTCTTATATTTTCTTTCTACTTTTTTCTTTTTATTTTTTTAATGATTTTTACCCAATGAATTCTCAACTCACATTCTCTTCTGCTTTCCGATGCATGCTATTTTCTATCAATCACTTAAGTGGCTCACTAGAAAGACTTTCAATGTCACTTATGGAGTTAGGATGTACGTTTTAGTTCAGTTTGCTGATGCAAATATGCAAAGTAAAACATAATATTAATGGTTGGGTTCACAAGACTCACAAAAAGGTAAAAAGAATCCACATCTATCATGTTCTATTAATAAGTTTTAAAAGCAATAATAAAATCAAGGGCTTGCATTAAATAGCTAATGGATTCATTTTTTCTAGATTGCAAAATAGTGCCATATAAAAAAAAATTACAACTAGTTTCAACTTCTTCTATAAGCTTTCAACCCATTCCTTCCTCAAAAAATTATTGTAGAACATGCAATAACAAACCAACATGAAATACCACAATGAAATAGAAATTCTGAACACGTCAAATAACTAGATTATAAAAAATAGATACTACTAGGGGTTTCAAATCAGGTTCACATGTCAAGTATGGGTCCGACCTAAAATTAACTCCGCTTAAAACTTTTTATCCTAACCCAATCTGAATATTAAACGGATAAGGTAGTTCAGCCCGAACTCGACAAACTTAGGATTCATACAATTTACTGGTTAATTATTAAACCAAACCCAAGGATAGCTTCAAACTCTAAATCCTAAGATATCCAAATTAGAAGAAAACCTAGGACCATACACATATTAGAGTAGTCCAACATAGAAGCTTATGGTAGCTTTAGGTACCCAATAGATATTTTTTAAACACTAAAACATATAAAACAATTAAACCCACCCCCACAGGTTATGTAGGTGCCCTAGGATGAAATAACCCATGGTTACCAATGAAGGTACCCCAAACTAATGTATAGCGGGATGGTCTACCTTAGCCATGGCAACAAGGAAGAACTCTGGTTATGCATCTGGTTAGTAATATGAGGATACCAACATACCTAAAATGATGGAAAGCCATGAGTATCTTAATTGGGTATGTAATTCCAAAAAAATAGGTTAGTCCACTTATGAGCCTCTCTAGATAGTTAGGATTAAGGCTTAATTTCTATATAGAAATCCTTCTAGCCTATCTTCCCTTTGGACTATACTTTAAAATTAACTCACATGTCCTCTAATCCAAATTCAATTTCAACCCAATTTCAAAATCTCAAATCCAAATGCCAAATTCAAGACAAATTCAGTTTAAACCACAATTTTTAGCCTGAATCCCATATGATAATTCTAAAGCATTACCCTTATGTCATGCACCCACTTCCAAACTCAAGCTATCGAGGCCAATCCCAAAACCAACTATCTTGATGTAGTTGATCAAATCGGTCCAAGTTCTAGCTCAATTGTATCTCAATTCAATCCTTCACCTGTTTGGAATCTGATTCACCCATCTTTGTAAAGACTTTCACTGATGTTTTAGTATGATATGAGCCAGAATTTTCTCAGTAGCCACAACTTCTGAGATGTAATTAACTATGAGGGATCCCCCTCATAGAAAATCCAAACCCTAGAATTCAAATAAACCCTATCTTACCCCCAGTAAGAAAGGAAAAAAAAAAACTATCGGTTCCATAGACCCATGAGTTAAGGAGACTTTCCTCATATAAATGATCATACCAATTCAAAGGCGCTCTTTTTATCGCTCGGGATAGTATGTTATTCTTTGAATGTCACACTTGGCTATTCAGAGTTCTTCTCTTAGATCTATGGTATTTAGACCAGAGGAAAATATGTTGAGATTTTCATACCTATTTTATATTGTTTTTGATGATATTGCACTTTAAAGAAAAGTATTTTTGATGTTTTATTGCAGGAATGATGAATTAGGGTCATTGGAGCAAAAAGATGCAAAAA